CTGTTCAGTTTTCAAAGGCAAAACACGACGCTCTGCGGCTGGTGGTGGTGCACCCCTCACACTGACACATTCCCCTCATCCCCTTGCCCTTGGCCCTGAGCACATCTACCTGCGAGCTAGTCTCTCCGCATTCTCTCCCCTAGTCATCCGCCCACGGCAGTGTCAGCAGTGTTTTAAAATGCTTTTCTTCGAGAGAGCTTTTTTGTAACATTCTTTTCTTCCGGGGTGGGGTGGGGTGGGGTGGCGGATGGGTGTCGGACGGAGGGGAATTCGGACGCCGGCTCTTGTGGCGAGAACGATGGCTTCTAAGGAAGCCGTCGTCTGCGCCTTGTCCGTCGTGTGAATCGTGCGGGGTTGTGTTTTTGTGTGAATCGTGCGTGTGCGAGAACCAAGCTCGGGAAATTCTTTTCTTCGCACAGTGCCAGTGCGCGCCAATCCCGTGCCCAGTGTTACACCAATCCTCGCTACCCAACGCGGCCAAAGGATATCCACCTCGAGAACCTCGAGAGTGCCCAGTGTCGGTGTCGTGGGTGTGAGTGAGTGAGTATTCTTGATACGAAACCACGACGACACACACCAGTCGACTCGCATCGGTTGCCTCCATGAACGGCGGAGCTATTCTCGCGTCCACACCACACCTGGCTCCAACGTGGACACGCCCATAGCTGGGGACACTACTAGGTCATGCATGGCATCAGAAGTTTTATCTCTGGGCCCCGAAACGCATCTCTAGCAGCGTCGTTACGCATGCGCGCCCTCCCCTCCTGGGCGCATGCGCCTCACGACTCGCCAGAGCATAAGCCCTTGGTGTGCGACTAGACGAGTTTTTCGCCATCGCAGCGAGCAGCAAGCCGCCCGCCGCAGCAGCCGGAGGCATCGCCGCAGCACTGTCTGCGCCGCGGCCCCGCACCCGTCGACGAAGCTCCCCCCGCGGAAGACCGCGCGTAGCGACGCCTTGGCGATCGAGATGAGCGCGCTTGAAGCCCGCCCACCTACTGCCCCTGAGAGTTGGTTACGAGTGGGATCGGCTCCCCCCCTTGGGATCGAAGCTTCCACGACCTCGCACCCAACATCACAGGCGGGATCAGAGAGAGACTCCACACCGGACACCGCCCGGGCACAGACCCCCTACCCGTCGGATCGCACAGGGCCCCCTCGGAGCAGCAATCGTGCTCTGTACTGCTACGCATATGCAAGGAGGCCCATGTGCATACGCATCACATTACGCCCTCTCGGGAATACGTAAACTCGGTGCGTGTGCGTCACTTGCCAGTCCAAATGCGTCGCATTACGCAGCCCGTCGAACGCCTCCCCCTTCAAAAATAAATAAAAAACGTCAATACATACATCGATATACACGTATTCATCGCGTGCGTGACGGTGCGATGGCCCTGTGGTTGCCTCATACGTACCACGTGTCACGTATACGGATTATGGATCTCCGCCGGTGCGCCGCGGCCCGCGGGGGGGGCGGGGCGTCTTCGACGTATCACGTATCCGCATTACGCATACGTCCTTTTCACCGCAAAGCTTTGCCCGGGGGACGGTGCAATGGCCCGCGTGGCGGGTGCCTACGTACCACGTGTCACGTTTACGGATTACGTATATCTCGCCCCGCGCGCCCCCGAGCCATCCCCCCCCCTGGCTTACGTATCACGCATACGCATCCCCCGCCGCCCCCTTCCCCGCCGCCCTTTCTATGATCGGTCCCAGTCACGA